AGTAGGAGTTACCAACTATTTGTAGTCCTTTGTTGTATGTAGGGATTTCAGTTTGAAGGATTTCTAGCGTGTCTGCTCCTTCAAAGGTTGTAGGGACGTTGTGGACTATGACTTTTGTCCAAGATTCTAGTGGTTGAGCGTGTTTGATGTTAAAGAGATCCATCCAGATGTTGGATTGCTGGAGAAGGAATTCTCCAGAGTATCCGCTTGTAGTAGTAAGTATGAGATTGTTTCTCTTACTAAGAGCTGCTAGTTGGATAACAGGTCCTGCAATGCCAGCTTTTTGGAATGCCTCGTTGATTTTGTTTCGTGCTTGGAGCGGGTTGATGGTTTGGTTTTCCTCTAGTGTTGCAACTATTTGATAGTGCGTAATTAGTTTCTTAGGCGTTGGCTTTTTCTTTGGGGCTACAGTCGTCCAAGTGGCGTTCTTTGATGGTTGAGCTGCAATTGTTGCGTATGATTGGGGAGCATTTGTGTTTGTTGTCGTTGTTGCTACTGCTACTGTTTGGTTGTTTTGACCAGCTACTGTGGCTGTTGCCTTCTTTAATGTCTTTGCTGCTTTTTCTGAAGCGTTTGCTAGAGTAGCTGAGTGGAAGGCGAGCTTGGCAGATAGTTTGTCCGAGATCTGGTTTGTAACTCTCCCTTTTTCCGTGTAGTCTCTAAATACGTCTAGTAGTTCGAGTAGCTTGTTTTGCTCTTCATATGAGTTGGTCATAATAGAGGCTTGGAGGATCAGGTTTCTAGCCCATTGGATTGCCTGTTCTGGATCTTTTGCGGTTGGTTTATCAGAGTCATTCTTTTGGAATGGATTTCTTCCAGTTCTGTCGTATACAGGAGAGAAGAGGGCTGGTCGTTTGTTCATGATTGGGACTAGTCGTTCGGGTGGGTTAGGTTGAGTTTGGGTTGGGGTCGCTGGTGTCTGGTCCTCTTCTATACCCATTTGGATATCATTTTCGAGATAGATTGCGGTATTAGTGCTGTTTCCGCTTGCCTCTGGGATCTGCACTATGATATTGTCGCTGTCTGGCGGCATTTTTGTTCTGTTGTTGCTACTTTACACTAGAAGGATACCTAGTTCTTCTAGCCGTACCGGTGTGAAAGTAGTGAAAGCCTTGCTATTTTACTCTTCTTACTCTCTTTTCTCTATCTTACTGATCTATCGAGTAGATCTCTAGGATAGGAATCGATTTGGGAGACTAGAAAACAGCGAAAGAGTCAATTGTTGGTGTTTTTGGTTATCTTATCGATAAGGACTGGTCTGTGCGTTTTTGTTTTGGAAGATTGAACGCGTCTGAAGAATCTCGTTCTACTGGCTCTAGCTTTACAACCAGCTGGCTGCAGAGGCTTAGAGTAGCTGGAATGTTTTTCTTCTGATGGTTTCGACTATATTCCGATGAAAAACGACGCGTTTTGATCAGTTTTCGATTTGAGGTGTGTGTACCTGCATACTTATTTTTATGTAGGTTAAAGGTTAGGTTAGGTTCTATTCGTCTGATCTACCGATAATGCCTTCCAAGCGCATTGCGGGCAACTTCTACCGCATGGCCTAAGTCTGTAGAGAAATTTGGGGCTTTTGATGACTCGGTGGCTGCTTCGGATCCTCACAATCTGGGCCAGGATCCGGGTAACAGACCGGAGGCTAGTGCGCCTGCAGCCTTATCCCCATGGGATAAGGAAGAGACGATAGAGCTTGAGAAGAAGATGAAGGAAGACTTCGTCGCGAAAGAGAGAGAGAATGCCGAAGCAAGGGTACGAGAGGAAGCGTTAGCTGAGATCCAGCAGCTTGGAGCGGAGAGAGGAACCATTGCGCAACTTCAAGAGCAAGATGTTGCCGTTGCAAGCTCAGTTGTTACCAAAGATGAAGCAGACAAATTCGAGGTTGAGTCGATGTGGGATAGCTGGGGTGGCGCGCCTGTCATCTCCGGAAAGAAAAAGAAAGGGAAGAAAGGCCATACGGTGGGATCGCCTCCCCTGCCTCCGTCTCTACTTCCACCTCCAATGAGTCCATCTTCTCCGTTGTCGCCACCCAACA